TTACTTGCGTGGTGAGTGTCAACATTTTATTGGTGATTTTGTCCATGTACGCCTGGATTTCATTCCAGAAATTATCCACGGTATGACAATCAAGCATGGCGTGTTCTATCGTGTCAGTAACGCCACATCGATGACAGTTCGGGGTTGCGTGCACGCGGATCCTGTTCAGAGATAAGGCCGTCGGTAGAACTCGGTGAGCAATCGTCCAGTTAACATTTCCATGTTTGTGAGTAATTAAAGGTGGATATAGAGTTTTCCATTGTTTGGTGTTAAATATTGGTTCGGGATGGAGGTTTTCTTTCCATTAATCTAGGGCAGCTATGACGGTCTGCCTGCCTGCGAGATGGTGACCGTAGAAAGTGCGGGTTCTGCCGTTCAAGATATCCAAAGAGGCATTGTTTGAATCAGTGGTGTTCACTTCAAACCGGGGTTGTAGATTGGGTGATTGATTCGTGGGTTGAGACTGGATTTTACTTGACCATTCTTGTGGTATAGAAGAGCGAATTTTCGTCAATTCACGCTCGGTTCGTTCTAAAGTGTGGTCATCATTCTCTTGCTCGATCAACAACTCATGAACAGCATTAGTTGGCAGATAGCCTGGAACTGCTTCGTAGCAAATGTCTTTGACCTGAGTGACACCCACCGTTACCCAATCAGGAATTACAGCAAGTGGTTGATCGTTGGCATTTATCAGTTCATTTTGGAAGAGCGGTTCATTTAGGATGCTTTGTACATTGTCCAGAATGTGAGTTCTTGTAAGGAGAAGTGTGTGCTTTTGCCAGGCAAGGAGTAGTTCTTTATGGAACATCGGTACATTGCGATCGATTTGTCTAGTGCTGAAATCAAGGACAAGTGAAAGTTTTCCAAGATTCAAATGCAAGATACAGAAGAAATGCGTTAAAAAGTGTTTTCAATGTGCGTCTTCTGCGGATAGTAATCTTTTTAAGGTGTTTAGTCTCAGAGACTGAATTTTTGTTTTAATTCTGGGGATGTTGAAACCGCCATGTTGGACAGGTAGGACCAGGATGTCTTGGTTCGCCAAATTACGCTTGTAGCTATAGAAGAAGTTGTAAATGGACTGATCGATTTGTGCTATTGCCCAAGAGGGCACGGGCAATGACGTTGCGTTGTACCATAGTGTAGAGGTTAAGAGACCATTTATCACCAGCGCTTTACCTTTATAACTTAGTTCTCTGTGACGCCAAGCAGCAAAGTTATTGATCTTCTGTATTTTGGCTTCCCAGTTACTTCTCGTACAATCTACATTGCCAATGAATTGCCCGAGAATTTTGTCGGGAGTAAAGTTGTTAAACCAATCAAAGTTGCCAAGTTGGTCAGTTCTATGCACAAATGCTCCACAGCAGAGTCCCTTACATTTTCCTTTATTGATCTTCGCTCCAGAAGTGCGTTCATACAAATTAAAGGTATTGAAAACTTCATCAATACATTGATCATCAGCCAAAAGCAAAGTGGTGTCATCAGCATACTGTTTTAACTCTTCATGAGAATCAGGCGGCCATATTCCGTGTTTTCGTGGGTTTTCCCGTATATTAATGGCCATCGTCTCGGCAGTTAAGACGTATAAGGGCATAGACAGGGCACAACCCTGCTCAAGTCCACGTTCCAACATAACGAAAGCGGGAAGCCAGCCGTTTGTTTTTATGGAGCTTGAAACAGAATTGTATGTTAATTTGATCCATTGAACAAAGTTAGGTCCCATGCCAAAATTTTCCAAACATTTAAAAAGAAATTCGTGCGAAACTCTGTCAAAAGCTTTGAGCTGATCCACACTGATAAGGGCGAGAGCAATGTCTTTCTCATTCGCATAAGCAACAAAATCATGTAGAAGTCGCGTGTTGTCATTGATAGTTCTTCCTTTAATAGAGGCGGTTTGATCCGTGTGTATAATAAGTGGTAGAACTTGTTGAAGCCTGTTAGCGAGCGCCTTGGTCAAAATCTTGTATTCAGTGTTTAATATCGTGACTGGTCTCCAGTTTTTGAGCTGAGTGTGGTCACCTTTCTTGAACAATATAGATTTAACACCTCGCCGCTGGGAGACCGTGAGGGCTCCAGTACGAAAAGCATAATTATAAACACGTGTCAATTTTTTGCTTAAGAGGCCAAAAGTGCTTGTAGAAATGCGTTGTCAAGCCATCAACCCCAGGTGATTTATTACTTTCCATTGAGCGCACTGCCTTGAGGGGTTCCTCCTCTGTTATTAGACCTTCGCAGGAATTGCGAGCATTGTCAGGTAATTTTGGAATGGCAGCATTTAAAAATTGATTCCTCGCATCTTCATCACAGGGTTGCGCTGTATATAGAGTTTTGTAGAAGTAATATGTTTCTTTCAACAGATCTTGCGGTCCAGAAACAGTATCGAGATTTTCTTTTGTTAAAATACGAATTGTTTGGTCCGCTCTCCTGCTTTTCTCGAGGGAGTAGAAGTAACGGGTGCTCCTTTCTCCTTCTTCCAAAAATTGTGCTTTTTCTCGAAACTTGATAGCTTCCAAATCTTTAAGATCTAACTCTTTCA